TCAATTTTCTTTTTGTAGTATTTTTTTTTAAATATTTCAAATTTCAATGGTAGCAAATAGGGCACTGTCACGCTCCAGTGAGAGGTCAATTTATTTTTGTTCTTTCTGGGAAGAATGCTTATAAATTCAATTTGGAAATTTGAATTATTTAATTTGGTGGGGTGGGGGGTTTGGGTATGGGGGTGTTTGGGGTTGTCTGTATTTGGACAATTACACACACCAAACTCCACTATTTAGAGTAACCTATGTTGTTGTCATATATATAAGTTTATATCATAATATTTCGAAAATTAACTATGTGATTTTATTTTCTCTATAAAAGAATAGTGAGACCATAATTAAATATGCGTAGTGTAACGCGTGACGAATTCGATCAGGAAAGTGTTAGGCAAAATAAAATCATGAACTCGTGTCTTCGTCTTAGTTCATCAACTAAAGTCACACTTGGCACGTGAATTCTTACATTTTTTTTAACAATAATTGAGAGCTGCGTGGATGTAGCAGCAATCTATGATTAATATAATTATCCTTAAAATTAAAATTATTAGTTCACATGTAAACCGAATCACAAAGGAAATTTGAGGTCATACACGCAACTACAACATTTCTAGGATGATAAGATTTAGATATATACCAAAAAATACAAACTAATTAAAGAAGTCCCATTGTTAAATTAAGTTCAATCATTTTTTTTTAAAGTTAGGAAGATTCGGACAAAATACTAAGAATTATAATTAACCGTCAAACTTACTACTTCCTCTGTGTTCCACTGTAACTGTCATTTAAAAAAAAAATAAAAAATTACATGTAACCAATTTCCTGTCCATTCTAGCGTGGTTTACATCGCTCATATGATTTGCAAGCTATTATACGAGAGTGTAGGTTTACCCAGTGCACATGTATGGTCACTATTTTGAGGGTTCTCCTCTTGGGATGTAGATATACTTGTTGAAAATTGAGTTATAAAAAATATAACCACCTGAACATCCAATCACAAGTTGACTTGTGACAATTACAAGTAAAATCATCCATAAACTTCCAATTGATAATTAATTAGATAACCTGATTGGAATATTTAAACCAATATTACAATATTATCTCAAATGTCAAATGAATATTTAATAAATTAATTTTTATCTCTAACACTAGAGTTGCTCTAAATAAATATATTCATTTTATGTGATTTTACTGTAGTTGCACATTTATTGAATTTATTAATACTTGTATAGAGCTGAAAAAAGACAATTATTTAGAAACCGAAGAAGTATACTTATAAAAATGCCCAATTAAAGAATTAGTAAGTTAGTGATCGATAATCCAAATCAATTGGATATAGATAATAGTAGGAATGAAGTATGGAAAATTATTGCTCCCTCAATTCTATAATAACTGTCTATTTTTAAAAATATTTTTGTTCCAATACTGCATTAACTGTATTTTTTATTTTTTAAACTTATTAGTTCAACTATTAGTATTAACTCTCTTTCATCGCATCATTAAATAATTAATGTTATTTTAGTCTTTTTAATGTGTTTTTACTAAAATCAAGATACACTTATTGAGATTCTCAACGCTCGTGCAAAGCTAAAAACGCGACATTTAATAAAAAACGGAGGGAGGAAGTAGTTAATTAATCTTATCATCATATCCAAAGTTTCCTAGCTAAGTGTGCAGCTCAAACAAGAAATCTTCTCATCTTCAACTTGGATTCTACAAAATGTATTATAAAAAAGAAAAAAAAAAAAAAAGAAAAAAGAAAAATGAACCACAATCATTAAAAGTCTTTACCAACAAATTAATAATTATATATATATAATATTAAATATGAGGCGAACAGTAAGCATTCCAATTTTCTTTCTAGAATTAGATATATGTGACGTATTTACCGAACTTTATCCTTTAGATGGTCAAAATATTCTTTGTGGAAAAAAAATATCTTCTTATTGTAAGATTAACATGTAACTATAATATGTTGCAATAATCATAATTTAAACAATATATATATTACTTTAATTAGTGACGACAAATTGATTAATTAGTCAAAAATGCAAGCAAAATACAAATGCATAATAAATATTAGATTGTGATCACGTTTAACTTTGAATTATTTGCATATAGCACAATTATTTGAATTTTCTTTGGTTTTGACAAATCAAAAACCGTTAACAATAAAATAGTAACGATATATATTAATATATATATATATATATATATATATATATATAGAAAGATCATAGCCAAAATCTTTATTTGTGAAGCTAATTTTAAATAGAAACGTGCAGTAAACTATCAAAATCAAGGAAATAAGATTTTGTAAAGTTTAAATTGGACACATTGTAAAAAGAGTTTTTCATTTTTTAATGTTTTGTATAAATTTGAATTTTTGCGGACCTGATCTCACAAGTATACATACACTCCTCGTTCTATAATTATGTTACTTTAGAGAAATATTTTTGTTTCATATTATCCGTCACTTTAAAATTTCAATACTGCATTAAAAGGCAATTCTTCTCCATTTATCCATATTTATTCTAAATACCAATTAATTCTCTCTACACTTCATTAAATTAAACAATCAAGGTTATTTTAGTCTTTTTAGTATATTTTTCCTATAATCAAGAAATTCTTAATACTTGCACAAAACTGAATTCTTTTCAAGTAATGTAATTAAATATAATCTAGTTTCAAACAGTCCGAAAAAATACTACAAAATAAATTGAGAAATTATATGATATGAAATTTACGACCTCAATTTTTTTTGGTCTTGGAGAAATATTCTCATTCTGAACTTCGAAAATGCTGCTTTTTGATTTTTTTTTTTCAAATTATTTTGTATATATTCCAAATCAAATGATATTCCATAAAACCTACTTAAAATGTAGTTATACTTATAACCCCTATGTAGTATTTGGAAACAAATCAAGGTGAGTATTTGTGTAGAATTATTAACTATTAAATAATTCACATTTTAAATGAAATGAAAATCATTTTCTTGACTAAAAATTTAGGGGTAATATGCTAGGAGTCCCTCAAACCAAACCTAATTTGAACTAAATGACAAGTTCAAATCCATTTTTTTAATTAAATCCTTAATTTAAAATAATATATGAGGCACATCCCTAATATTTTTTATATCCCAATATTGCCCTTATACCCTAAATCTTATAAACTAAATATTACGTTTCTTTTTATCAGATCTATTCTTCTTCTTTTTTTTCTCTCTCTCAATCTCACGCTCTCTCTCCCTCAATCTCGTCTCTCTCTCTCTCAATCTCCCGCTCTCTCTCGCTCAATCTCACTCTGTCTCTCGCCACCACTCCATGATTGAGGAAGATGGTGGCTATGGCGACAACCACGGCGGTGGAGGCGGCTGCATATGGAAAACAACTATGACGGTAAGAAAGCTACAATGGTGGGAGGAGGCGTTGTGGTGGCGCGGCGTTGGGTTGTTGTCCCAGCGGCGACGCTCGAGGTTCGAGGATGATGCTGGTGGTGCGGTGATGCTGGGGTAGGCGATGGCCGCGTGTGTGGGCCGGGGTTGGTGATGGTGGCGTGGATGGGAGTGGGTGACCTTGTCGTCACAGATCTAGGGTTTGGAGGGTGGATCTAGGGTTTGGTTTGGATGATTCAAAAAATTTCGATTTAATTTCTGCAGTTGTCTATGAGTTACTATGAGTGTCTGACGGCTAGGGTTCAAAGGAGGGGTTAGGGTTTCAAGAATATGGGGTCAGAGATGTCTATGGATTACTATGGTTTTCTATGGTATCCTATGGGTGTCTATAGATGTCTATGACCGATTTTTTATTTTTTTTTAATTTATAATTTTCAATATTATGTAGAACAAGATATATTTCTATAATAGTGAAAAAATACGAAAATGACAACCAAAGGAAAAGAACAGAAAGAAACGTAACTAACGTTCTTCAAGTAAAAAAATTAATTAAAATGTTAATCCAAAGTGATATCTT